AAGGACGTCTTCATCGGTCCGCATACAATAGGGTATCTCTTTACGTCGTGGGCTAATTCTCGACCGCCATCTCCAGTCAGCTCAGGTCAAATGTCAGGCGACCGTACCCTACACAAATTGAGGTGTGACACTATTTTTGTATCGAATTACGGCCTGTCCCAGTTCAGGTGAGACTCACCAACATAAACCGTGGCCTCAGTTATAACAATCAACAACGTCGGCATTCGACCATTTAGTTTTTCCCAATTGAATTCAGCAACATTTTTTTTTTTTTAAGTTTACGAACTAATTCAGATAACAATGACATTGCTGAAGCGCGGGGCCCCTTCAGGCGCGGGGCCTATGGCGACCGCCCCGTTCGCCACCCCCTAACGCCGGCTCTGCAAATGTCACACTGAAAATACATTTAAGCAGAACAACAAGCTCTTTTTTACATTATATACAAGCTACCATTATGTCACATTGTACTAAGAACACAACAGAAGATGCTATCAAATGTATTTAAACACTTTCTTGAGCATTTAGAGAACAATCTCAGACCACACATTTGATCACCAGATCTTGTTCATAGTAACTGCCTAGTGTAAACACACAGCTAAAACACTACACAGAGACTACACATTCATGCGACATAACAAAGATACATTTATTACAAGAGACTTAACTAACAAGACAGTGCTTTCAGTTTATAATATAAATCAAAATTGACTGAAGTTATTTAAAACCTTAAAGCTGAATTTAAACTGTCCAAAATCAATGTAAAATGTTGGTAAAAATATAGAATAACTGAAAATTTTAAAACGTAAAATATATCAAGGCATTATGTTTATATCCCACTACACTGCCATCTCAGGATTTATTTTATCAATTCATTGCAAAATCAGATTCTGCCTTACTAAACCATCACTTTTTCATTCTCTAACAATAATGATAAATCTGTAAAAGAAAAGTAAATAGGAATCTAGAGTCAATCATTTTTTTTAAAAATCAAAAATTAATTTATGTCAGTTATGTTATTTCAGTCAAACAAATGCTACTTAAAATGGAAAAGTAAGGAATGAAATAACATGTTTGAAAGTATAAAAAAGGATATTTCTATTAAACATTTTAGGTTGTTGGTTATATAAAAAATTAAACCCCAAAAAAATGTATTCCTCATAAGGATTTTTTATATGTATGCCAGGTATTGCGAATTCTGCAGAGACCTCTTCAACAAGGCTAAGGGTTTTTATGCTAAATTAAAAAACAAAAAAAACGAAGTAGGCCTAACAAAATATTTAAAATATTTGACTTTGATTTTTCTGATATAAAAAAAATACTAAACCTAAAATTGTTCACACAAACACAATTTTATACATATTACATTTAACAGTTTTTTAAAGTCTTGGTTCCACCATTCTCTTGTCATGGCCACAATTTGTGCACTCTCTCCTCAGGGGTTGGCAACGTTTTGAGACCAAAGAGCCAAAAGTAATAATTTACAAAATTTCCCAGTTTTTAAAGAGCCACTAACATTTTAATTTCAATATTATGCTGTTTGATTAGGATTAGGTATATCTATCTATCTATCTATCTATCTATCTATCTATCTATCTATCTATCTATCTATATATATATATATATATATATATATATATATATATATATATATATATATATATATCAATGTGTATATATAGATATAGATATCAATGTGTGTGTTTGTCTGTCTGTCTTTTCATTATTACACCTTTCATCCGATCACCTTGAAACTTTAGAAAGTTGTTGAGAATACTCCTTGGGAGGTATCTGCTGGGAAAAAAAGTCAAATTAACAGGGATGGCGCCCCGCAGGGAGCGATTAGGTTCTTCTCTATGTACGGTATACAAATATCAAACTTAATTGCGGATTGACACCGTCATCCGATCACCATGAATCTTTATGGAGTTGATTAGAACACTCCAGAGAGGTTTCTGCAAACAAATTATTTTTTTAATTTCGCAAGGATATATACAGTATATAAAAAAAAAAGTCTGTTTCTGTTTAACACTGTTCATCTGAGTGCCATGAAACTTTGGAGAGTAAATGAGAATACTCCCCAGACGTTTTCTGAGAAAAAAAATTCTGATGGGTGGCGCCTGGGAGGGTGCGATTTTCCTCAATACACGGTATGGAGCCTATAGTTCCAAAGAGGCTATGTTAGCACTTGGCATCCTTAAATCGGGCATCCTGCATAGCGGATAAGGGGTACTACTATACTAGCTGCATACCCGTGCTCCGCCATGGTAAATCTTTTTTAAATGTACCAACTTGGGAACAAAACAAACACAAACATAACACAACCACAACAGAAACACAACCACAACACAAACAACACACCTTAGAATCACCACCGAACAACACGCTTTCCTAGGCATCCGTGCCCAGAGAGAGCCTTTCCAGCATTAAAAATTTAAGTCACATAAATAGATCCTACTCCATAACTTGCAATAAAACAATGCAATGCAAATAAATATACGGCAAGTGGTGTTTACTTTAATGGGTCTAAGAAAACACATTGGCAATGTAATTAGAATCACCACCCTTAAACAAGCTTTCCCAGGCGCCCGCGCTCAGAGAGAGCCTATTCAGCATTCTCTATAAGTCTAATTTCACCATGTTTTTCACTGAAAAACAAAACCAAAAAATATTGATTTTGAGAGATCATAAACTAATTAGAAAATAATATAAATAATCTTAACATTTTTCTATTTTAATTATGAACCTTAACATATGCGGTAGTAATAAAAAAAATTAACTTAAATTATTGAGAGTGAGTTGAATTTATTTTTTTTAATTACCTCCCTTGGCAAAATTACAAAAAAAAAAACAGTTGAATTAATTAGTTTTTTCAACCCTACCGTTATAAAAATGTATCCACTTTTTCTAAGAATCTAAACGAAAATGATATTTGACATTGATCCTTTTAATATGTTTTAGCAATTTGCGTGTATTTAATATTTTCTTAACATTATGTGAAAGAGTAAAAACTGGCAATTATACAATAAATTTAAGTCGTTATATAAACCAACCCTACTCTATTACTTATAATAAGACAATGCGATGCACTGGAAAGCTCTGCATGGTGCGATATTTACTTTTATGGTTCCAAAATCTATCTATAGTGATGACACAAGGAAGGACTGACACACTACAACCAGCATTATATTATAGATTCAGTGGCAAAACTGCATCAGGCTGGCTAAAAAAGGCTTTACACTAAAGACACGAAAGGGCAACAATAATCGAATTAGGCATGGGGTCATTTTGGCTTACCCATGAGCACCATGGTGCCTGTGTTCATTTAAACAGTGCGATAGGCTATGGATACAATGGTTTGCTATAGCTCACTAAATTGAATCAGGCGCATCCTCCGGCGTCTCAGCAGGGTGCGATTCGGCGCCCAGGGCTCTCCCACGAGCACTATTTAAACCGAGCTAAGGGCTGGACGCGACGCCCCTGCGGTAGTGTAAACAAGGGCTCACAAAAGCGCCACTTTCCGTCCCCGACACTTAGGCAGAGAGTGATTAACGGTGATATTACGGTGAGTGATTAAGGCTTTCATACATTAAGCCCAATGGCATGTTGGGCGGTAGTGTAAGCAGGAGCATAGCGGGGGGCGGGGGTACGGGCCGAACCGGGTGACACCATTTAGAGTGGTGGTTACACCAAGACAAAAATTTACAGAAGAAAAATGCTTTTTTTGCCCGTTCAATTAATAGTTAATTAAAGTTAAATAGTCTTCTAAGTAAAAATCAACAATTATAACAAGGGGGTTGGGGTGACACCATGACGTAAACGTGCTAACTTTAGAGAAACATTGCGACATCCAACAATATTATTAACAAACTATAAATAAACATCTTTACTATTACGTCTGTAGTGATTAAAGCTTATATACATACATGTATGGGTACGTGGCATATATTTAAATTATAGGCCTACACACACACACACACATATATATATATTTATATATATATATATGATTATATTTATATATACATATACATTTCTTTGGGGGGGGGGGGGGATGACACCACAAAGCGCCGCAACGGGTGACACCTGACCTAGTAATGCCACTGAGTGTAGATAAACCTGTGCCCCGATAAATATGATTCAAACACAGGCATTGTTTACATTTAAATAACTCAGTTTTAGAAAACAAGGAAGTACATTGAAATAAGGAGTAACTAAATATTCTAATAGAATAGCAAGTGTTTATTGATTATATTTATTATTTTTCGTTAGAGTGTTGCAGGGTAATATTTTTATTAGTTTTAAAATAAAATAATTATTAATATTTGTGCATGGAGCTTAAGAGCCACATTTCGACATCAAAAGAGCCGCATGTTGCTGACCCCTGCCTCTCCTCAATCACTACCTCAGTTGGGAGTTGTCTAGTGTTATGCATAATTAATCTGGCCAACAAATCAGTAGAAATTTTTTCAAGTATCTATATATTCATTCTCCAGATTTATTTTCTAACAGTAACACTGATGTTACATATGCAATAAATGTCTTAATATAAATTGTGCCTGTAAAGAAAAAGTGATGTACATTAAATGTAGGCCTACAAAGGTTTTTAATTTACAATATGTATTTATGCTTATAAAACTGCCAACAACTTGTAATTAACAGTAAGAATTAGATTTAAATATTTCATTACCACATTACATTATAGATAAACATACATTTTTCTTAGGGTGCTACCATTTATTTAAATGAACATACCGGATGTGTAGAGATAGCTAGAATATTACATGGTGGAGCAGCACACAGAAGTGGTAAGTTGAGTTGTAATTACTTTTTTTCTTAAACAATTTTTCTTAAGTATTCTCTTTGATTGCTTTATTGAATCTTTTATGCAAACTCAAACTAATAAACTTAAACTGAAATTTTAAAATCCCTCAATATGTTAATAAATTAAGATGCAAAACTATCTTCTTGGAAATGTTTTTGTTTTTAAACAAATATTAACAGAAACAGTTAGCCTCTTCATAATAAAATGATAATTTAATTTTACCTATGATCTTCTTCAGCACAACATTGTGTTTTAAAGTAGACATAAAAAGAAAATAACATAATTTGTATTAAGCTTAAATAGCTCAAATAAATGACAATATCCAAATAAATTCAAGCATTTTTGAAAGGGCCTAACCACTCTTCCTTTTTAATAATTTTTGAATCAGTCCATTTCCATAACAAATTCTGCTACATTTAGATATTTTGTGACTTTTTACAAGGCATTGCAAACACATTTTAGTTCAATGAAATAAAAATGTAGGCTATAGTGAGGATATTCATAAAGTTCATTTGCTTGTAAATTTTTGATGATGCACTGTGTCCTATTTTTTTACTATTTTAAAACTTAACCACCCGCATTGGCTACTTTTATTATATTAATTTCTTTTAATGCTTTTTAAACAATATTTTACTCAGATAACATACATTTTCACAACTGTTGTTTTTCATAGTGACAGAATCTTATTAATTAATGGGGTTATTAATGTTGGACTGATGTTCTATTATCATCAGGAAAAATGCAGATAGTAAGTTTCAGAGCAATTGCACATATGGAAGGGAAAATATGGTTGCAAGATTTGAAACCTGTCAAACACCCAAGTGAACTTAAATACAAAAATGTGATTCAAATCCGAAGTTAGCATGACTTTTTACCTTTAGGATAAGCTCTAAATAACAGTATAAAATTGAATTTAAAATTATCATAGTTTATGGTAACAAATATTTTCAGGTCTTCTTAGTGCTGGAGATGAAATTCACGAAATAAATGGGGAACCAGTCAAAGGCCTTGACCCTGATAAAGTAGTTGCAATGCTAGTAAGTAAAATTGAGTTTATATTTAATCTTTTATTTGCGGAATTAATGTCTGAATGAAAAATTTTCTTAAGCCATGTTTTATTATATTGTTTTTTGGCACACTTAGAGCGTAGCTTGAAGGAAATTTAGTTTAGAAAATTTTTAATGACCTAAATAAATATTGGTACTTATAAGAACCATCAGTAATATAAGACATTATATTTCCAAAAAAAAAATTTATAATTTACAAAACAGTAACAAACTGTAAAATTTATTAACTAATAACATGACAATCATTATAACAATCATTATTGTAATTTTCAAACATAAACACTGCACAAAAGTATATTTTGAGTATGGTATTTGACTGGATTTTCTATTGGAACACATCTCAGACCTTCATCTGAGATGTCCTACTCCCTAATTCCTTAGTGACACATTCTATTTTGTGTCTTTCTGGTGTGGCAACAGTTGCTGGACTGAACCTACTTTTCCTGGTAGATTCCAACAGCAATGACAATGAGCCAACAAACTGCACCAAAACTCAAGCAGCAACACCGCTTAGTATCATTAATAGTGTTGTACATATATGTTAAAACGTTTGATTCAGGTACTGGAGGCCAACCCTGGAAACATTTATCCAATGGTGCAGCAAGTACTGAGATAGAGATATGACAGAATTTCCAATATCTGCCTCCACATAACATGTTATGAGTTATGCAATCTGCCATGTCCACGCCAATAGACATATATTTTTGGCAAGCAATGGTAACCAAAGTTATAGGTGAAGCTCGATGAAATTAATAGAACTTTGTAGGCTCAACTGCATGGGTTACCAAACTGTGGGTCGCGACCCCCAGGAGGGAGTTCATCAACTGGTAGACCAAACCAAACAAAAAATTCTAGTAATGGAATAGAGCAGCCACAGTGCATACTGTGCAAAGTTGTTCTCAGTCATTTTGAGACGAGTCATTTTGGATATAGAGGATATAGAGTTCTTTTGTTAGCATGAAGCTAGTTGCAAATGCTAGAGAACATGAAGTTTTCACCAAGGAAACACAGCATTTGTGCAAATATCATATGAAGTCATATTAGAAATTGCCAATCAAAACATCCTCACACAATAGGAGAAAATCTCATCAAACCCTACATGTTGAAAATGGTGAAACTAATTCTTGGGGATTCCAGTGCAGTAAAGATGCAACAAACATCTTTGTCTTTTAATACTATTCAGTGGCATATAGCAGACATGTCCGTAGATGTTAAAGAACAAATTTTGAATAAAATCAAGCTTGCACTATTTTTGCTTTTCAAGTTTGTGTTAGCAGTTGCTTGTCTTTTAGAAATTTATTCATTCAGATGATATCAAAGAAGAGTTTCTATTTTGTCGTGAACTTGAAACTTCTACAAAAAGTGAAAATATCATGGAGAAAATAAATACGCTTTTTGAAACTGGAGGATTGAAATGGGAAAATGTTTGTGGTAATTGTAAGGATGGTGCGCCATCTAAGCTTTGGTCTAAATCGGGCTGTAAGTAAAAAGTAGAAGATTTAGTTCCCCAATCAAGGGGAATCCTCTGCATGATTCACTGGTATGCCCTCGCCAACAAGACTCTTCTGACTCTGTTGCTAGAGGCACTTAATTTGATAATAAAAGACGTAAATTATATTAAATCTGAAGCCCTAAACACCCATCTGCTTAAAGAACTGTGCAAAGACATGAATTCTGATCATGAGGTTCCGCTTTTCCTCACCACAGGATGCTGGCTCTCTAAAGGTAATGTTGTGAATCATGTTTTTGAATTGAAAGATGAAATCATGTTTTTCTTGGAAGTGCAAGGGAAACAAGACCTTTTGATATACTTTAATGACAAAGAGTGGTTGAAGAGAATATCATATCTAGCAGATATATAATATTTGAACAACAAAATAGACTTAACCTGAAGCTTCAGAAAAAAAAAATATTATCTCTTTCCATGATAATCTCCAGGCATATTTATTAAAGCTGCAAATTTGGCAAAGAAAAATAAATCTTGGAAATATTGCCAAGTGTGAGAAACTCTGCAGTGTGTTAGATTGTGAGATAAATAAAAAATTTAAAAGAGAAGACTTCTGGGCATCTTGAATCTCTTGAAAACAAGCTACAGCGTTATTTCCATGAGCTGAAAGAATCTGCATCAACACTTAACCCATTCTCTGATTCCCTTGATGTTGTCAGTATTCCAGATAGATTACAAGATGAATTCTTGTATTTGCAGAATGATCCTGCGGCTCATACAGTGTTTAATGAAAATCTGCTAGCACAATTTTAATGTAGAATGCACCATTCATGCCCAAATGAGACATTGATTGCATTTTGAGTTTTAGTTCCTTTTGTGCTTATGTATCTTTATGAGAGTGGATTTTCAACACTTCTCCAATTAAAAACAATACAAAGAAATTAATAAAATGTTGAGAATGACATGAGGTTGGCGTTAACTAAAAATTAACTGTGAATTTTGAGGCTTGTCAATAGCATGCAATTTCAATCATCGCATAAAAACAGTTATTAAAAATAATTTAAATTATAATTATACTAGAAAATCTTATTTTGGTGTTTATTCATTTCCTTACTAATTTAGACTTGTTAATTCTTTGTGGGTCACGGGTCACTTAGTTTTTATAAAAAAAAGTTTTGGAACCCTGCTCTACTGTCTTGACACAAAGCTGTTTGATGAATGTACAGTTTCATTTGGAACAAAATCTGTTTCATAAAATTCATTCAGTCCGCATTGTACTCTAAGAATTCATATTAATTCCAAATAAAGTCATGATATGATTGGGTATGAAGATCCACTCAACAGATAACCCAAAAAATAATTAGCATTTTAAGAGGGAAATATTTTTTTCAAAAAGTGTTTCTGGTTATTAATAATAATTGAAATTTTTGATGTTTTAAGGTTATGTAATAAATTATTAAGTGTAAATATTTGAATTTTTTTTCCCAGTCTGAAGTCTCTGGCTCAGTGACCTTGAAATTAGTGCCTTGTATGAAAACAAATATTGGAAGAAAGACTAAAGTAAATATTTTCTTTCAATACACCAAGCAGAATTGTAAATTTATTTTATGGAAGTGTTACATTTTCTAAGATAATATTTATGATTAAAAAAATGTAGGTGCATAATTTTCACCATTTAGGGCTAAGACATGGCATATAAGATAAGAAGTAGTTTTTTTTAAGTGTAGGCTTAAAGACAAAGTAAAACAATTTTAATATTTCTTGGAAAAAGCATTAACTTATTGTTAAAATATCTGTAAAGTAAATTTCAGTTGTAACAAACTTCCCTAAGAGACTTACATCAATTTTATTGATGTAAGCCTCAATTTTATTGAGCAAAATAGGTGATGTTTGTTTGGTTTGTTTGCTACTCACAGCTTTTAAATTTGGTACTTGCTGGTAAGTTACTAGGAAATTGTTCTTGACAAAGTTTGCTGTTCGCTCTCTTTTTAATGCAAAAATTTGTCATTTCAATAATTGAGTTTAAAGGGATTTTAAAAAATGAATTTTATAAATAATCCATTTTTTTAAAGTGCTTGAATTAGGCACCTGGAAAAATACCAGATTCTCAGAAATGTGGGGTCAGTAATTGAAATCTTTTACACCTCAATTTTAATTATTAAAGGGAGGCAATAGCATCAGAAATGTTAACATTTAATTTCCCCTGTTCTTTGATTACACACAAAAATAAACAAAGAAAACATTTGGATAAAAGAAAAATTCCTTTAAAATTTATACTGAATGGTTTCAAATAAGTGAAAATTAATAAAAACTAACGTTTTTTATAGCTAATTTTTACCTATAAAAAGGGATATAACTGCAGCTGGAATTTCAGCTTTTAATTTTCCCAGTACCTTATTTGTAAAAAAAAAGTTGCTCTTATAGCCTTCTTTTTAATTTGGTAATTTAAGTAGTATTCTAATTTTTGTTCAGAAAGGTATACATTCCACTAAGTAGCACCTATGTTTAATCTGCATTTGCAAATTGGGAATCCGAATTAATCTGTATTCCTTCTCTACCTATTGGCTAAAATGCTACTATTATTATATATCAGGTTTAACTTTTTATTATTTTTAAAGACCTTAAAAACTGCATTATTTACTAATCATTCTTTAAGTTTAGAGTTTAGGGTTATGTGGGATTTTCTGAAATGTCTATATTTCGTACAGAAAATTAATTGGAAAAGTAATATATTTCCTAAACCTGGGCAATGCCGGGTATATGCTGCTTAGTAAACACACTAGTCACGGTACTTTACAGATAGGCAGAGCCAGCGTTAGGGGTACGCGGGGCCTAGGGCCAACCATCCGCGCGGGGCCTTATATTTTTCTTTTGGTGTCTAAAACATGTACAGTGAAGCGTTTTTTTTCTTCTCAACGCGAATTAATATTTATAATGATATATATGGTATTTCTAAGCTGCTTATCAATGTCGTATAATAGTTTTAACATAAAGACACTGATTAAAAAATAATTTGTTAACTTAGAAGTGCTTTAGAAACGATGTTTCTGTTAGTTTTTTGTTTGAAAAATAAAAAAAAATAAAACAGATATAAGTTCGAGACACGCATTAAAGAGACGATGAACATCAGCTTCATACTTGATTTTTACATTAATTTTTATTTATGAAAATCTTACCAGTACATTCACAAAGATCTACTTTTCTTGCCTTTCGTGAGAAAAATTCTTTGATTATATCTTCATAGTCTTAATGACAATGCCTTTTTCTAGTGACCGAATCGACAGGCCACAGAGCCTGTCTTGGGACATCATTGATACATGTTCCCAATTTCCTGGATCGTATACATCTTTTACGATCATTGGGAATGAATTATTTTCGTCAGATCATTTTCAGAATGGCCGCTTGATTTGTCCCTATTGTCGAAGTTCGAGTGGTTTGCAGCTGACAATAAATGACTGGAGGATTCATTATTACCGTCACCACCACAAATGGTAGTAAACTCATTGTAGTTCTTTTTGTTACGTTCTACATTTGCAACATTGGAATCCACAACCAAATCAAAAAGTTTTTGTTGTTTAACGACTTTCTGTGGATAGTGTATGTACTTGTCCAACGCGCCTGCTTGTGTTTTATCAAGTTCTTCTCTTAAATTGGGATTCCTCGCTTTTGATGCACCTGATTCATACTTGCGAAATCTATCTCTGTCTCAGGAAAAATGGTGAAATCACTTTGTAGCAATGTTAAATCGGTCCACAGTGGCGGGTGATAGTATCGATATTTTCTCAATTTATCAAGTATTAACAGTGGCATTCAAAGTGTGTGGATGCCGGGGAAAATAGCAAAACATTGATAGATTTCGGAATAAGCTCGAATTGTGAAAAACACTGTTTACGGTAATAGATATCCAAATGAAATGACTCTCAAATATAATCACGGACGCTCAGTAGGGTGGAAAACTGGGGTGGGTGTTAGTTGGTGGGGTGAGGTAAAGGATAACTGTACATTTAAATCTACGGGATGCCAAACCCTAAAAAAAAATCAGTTCATGTACTACGTTAGTGGATTTCTGACCGCGGCCATTCAAGAGAAAGTACGTGTTTATAGAGAGTCCACGTATTAAGGTTAAGACCACGTTCTCACAAGAGAACCATGTGACATCCAGCTTTACCTTATTTATGAGTTTCGCGACGGCATGCTCAAACTGCCAGTAATTTAGACGTTTGAGAAATCAGGAGAACTTTACCATAAAACAGTCTCGACCGGATGTATCAAACAGTATAGACTTTATAATTTGTTTAGTATGCCAACACTATTTTAAAACAAGAATCACTATGGTCTTAACTATTATAGTGGATATCCCTACAATTAATTAAAATAAACATGTGCTTAATCACTTTACGAATACCGTTAAAGTTTACCAAAAAGAATATGGACATAATTACTGTATAAACGCCCTTCGAAAATATAAAAATAAATACAAGTATAATGTATTTAAAGATGACCTGACAATACATAAAATGCATATGAACATAATTACTGTATGGATGCCTATCAAACGTATTGTGAATAAGCATAATTACACAAAAGATGCCCATACAGTGTAATAATTATGATTTTAGTAGGGATAAATACTCTGGATGTATGGGGCATGTCCCGATCCTCTTCCCCCCCCCCCCCCCTCTGCAAGCCATCATCAGGTCACTGACTGTTTACTACAGGTACCCCTGCCTGCTCACTAAAAAAAAACGTCTTTATTGGTCCGAATACAATAAGGTATCTCTTTACGTGTTTTCCCGATTTTACCTCCCATGTCAGGTCGGGGGCTAATTCGCGACTGCCATCTCCAGTCATTTCAGGACAATTGCGAGTTGACCGTGCCAGCAATCTGTGACACTAATGTCTTTCTTTAGAATAACGGTCTGTCCCAGCCGTGGCCTCAGTTTTAACATTCAACAACTTCGACCATTTAGTTGTTTTTTTAAATTTAACTCAGCAAAGATTATTTAAGTTTGCAAACTAATTCAGACAACAATGGCGGTGCTGAAGCGCTTGCCCCCTTCAAGTGCGGGGCCTGGGGCGACTGCCCCGTTTGCCACCCCCTAAAGCCGGCTCTGCAGATAGGTTTTTCACCTAGGCCAGTGCAAGGCCTGGCCGGGATGGCTAGTTTTATAAATAAATTGGTTATATAACAAGATCTATCTACAATACTTTCTTACACAATTGACAATTATAAGCAAATAGACAATATTGTGGACTTAAAACTACCCATTGAGTTTTATTTATCATCATAATGCATACTTTTAGAATGGCAATACATGTTGTAAACTTACAAAAGCTATATAAATGGTATCATGATTTTGCACTGACCTAGTATTTTATGCCTAAATGCTGCATGAAAAGAAATCTTGTTAGGCAATTATTTATATTGATGTACTGACCAAAAATGGCCACAGTACTAGGTTCACTAGTATTAATAGAAACTTCATTTTGTAAAAAAAAAACTGGTATTTCCATAGAGAATAAATAAATTATTAGTATTGCAATGTACTCAAGACACTATTAAAACATTGAATTAATATACTTTAACTGATGTGTTTTTTTTTAAATAAATAAAGATTTTAATTGATTTTAACTTTTTTTTAAAAAACTGGGATATTCTGGAGATAAGATTAGGAATTCTGCAATAAAATTTAGAATATGTGTAGTAAAATTAAGAATGGAAATGGGTTATAATATTTTAAATTATGTTTCAGTTAAAAGTTCGATGTTTGTTTTCATTTGATCCAGCAACTGATGAATATATACCTTGTAGAGAAGCTGGTCTTGCATTTAAGGTATTATCAATAGATTTATAGAAAACTTACATAAAATATTTGATAAACCGAAATGTTTTTTTCTGCTGAATTATCTGCATATACTTTATTAATGGCTTTGATTCAACACTAGCACTCATTGAAGGGTAAATTTTACTGATTACTTTACATGGACAACATATAAATTTCCTATGCATTTTGTTCTGGGTAGCCTTCCTGTTTTAAGAGGGGATTTTGTTTTGCTAGTTTGGTCACTTCATAAAATCAGGCTGTTTCTAGATATCATACTAGTATTAAGAATAGTCAGACTGATTAATCACTTGAAAAGTCTGGATTATTCTGTGCTATTATACTTCTTGATATGTAAGTAGGCTGGCTACTAGATATGTCAGGTTACTATCATATGTTAGACATGTTTTAAAATATGTTAGGCTGACCTTATGAGTCAGGTTGGCTACTTGATATTAGACTTGTATCTTTATATAAGTATTTGTGTGACTTTTTATGATTTTATGTATTTACATATTTGATGTAAATTCACTTAATTGCATACACATGGATACTTATTATGTTACCCAGATTGGGGACATTCTTGAAATTGTAAGTGATGAAGATCCAACTTGGTGGCAAGCAAGACATAATGATGATAAGTCACAAAGTAGTTCTACAATCTCACCTACAAGTGCACGCCTTGTTCCAAGTAAACACTACCAAGAAAGGTAGGTTACCCTTACTTATTTTTCACTAAAGATATTGATATTACATATCTTTTATCTTTTGCAAAGTGAAAGGACCATTTAAAAAGTAAATATGCAGTATGTAACAGAGTTTTAAAACTATGGGTGTGTAGAAATGTAAGGCAATAAACAACCCATGAACAGAAATATAGTACATTGAATTTTGTATACATTTACAAATGCAGAAGCTGAAGCAAACTGAAAAAAAAGTCAATCACTTTAAAAATAAATAGAAATAGAAGGACTATGTTATTGTAACTTGTATTGTAACCCTAATAGTAATCTTTGATTAAACTGTATAATTTCTTAGTTAATTGATCTCACATTGTTATTTGTTATCATATTAAAGGAAATAACTTGTAATTTCTTTCATTACTGTTTTTATATGTCTAATTAAGCCTTGTGATTTATTGTTGTCTGTATTTTAAAAGATTTTACATATTTGAAAACATTTATTTTTACACTACCTTTAATTTTATTATAAAAACTAAACATATTTCAAAAGAAAAAAAATATCACTATTCTGTACAAAGGCTTTTTTATTTCCTTTCTGTTTTACCAGTGTTGAAGTTATGAGAAGGGTTAAACTGAGAGAGGCAAGAAATCCACCACGTAAGAATGTATAATTTATTTTTAAGTTCATTCTGTATATAGAATCTCTTGCAGAGTACAAAATGTATAGTATCTACCAAATAAATGGTTGAATTAAAAATATATAAACTTGTTTTATTACGTTAGTACTTTTTAAATACTATAGGTCATTTGCACTCTCTTTTGTTCACAAGCACTTTATTAAACATTAGACCTAATGCTAATACAATTTTATTAAAGTTTGCATTCTGTGTTAAAATTTTCAGAATTTTAAAATATTGTATCATTAATTACCCACATACTTCAGCAGTAAATTGAGGTTAAAATTTTAAATTATTTACCTTCAGGTTCAATTAGTCCTTGCCGCTATAGTCCCAAAATCCCAAAGCAGAAGAGACTAAGAAAGACCATGTATCATATAGTTCAAAGTGGAGGTAATAAAATATTTATTTTCAGTTGAGTGACACTGCATAGTAAATATTCCTTAATAATTAACTTATCCTGTCTAAAATAAATTAAAAATAAAAAAAATATTTGCATGACTAAATTATCCTTGTGATTCGTAACTTTGCATGATTAGTGATGTCTGTTTAAAGCACTCGGGGACTCAAACCATTTCTCATTTTTCTAACTTTGTTATATTTACTAAATCAGAGCTTGCAAAATCATTAAAAAATATACACTGATATTTCTATGAAATCCCTCAAAAACCATGCAATAGTAAAAATACAATTTATTTTATCCACTTCATGTTGCAAATGATATATTAGCTTTGTTAATGAATAATTTTCAAGCCATTACTTGTCAAAAACACTAACTACATGGTATGAGCCATAGGTATAAGGTAGTGTGTCAGTCCTTCATTCCTTCCTTCCTACTGTCATATATAAAGAACAAAAAATGTCACAGCCTTGCGTGCATTGCATCACCTTATTATAATACAAGTCTGAAATCTTTTATGTACTGTTTTTATTTTGGTTGTCGTTAAAGTTTCCAGCTGCTGGCTGGAACAAAAAAAATAATAATGCATATATCCAAATTGTGTATAGCTACTCAATTTCTAATAATATACTCTCTTGTAAAAACAAAATGGATAAATTTTAATTTTTTAACTGTAGAGTAAATAAAATTAATTCATGGTAACTAATAGTGCTAGTTAAATGGAATGGTTAAATAGATGTTAGGAAAGATTATGATATTTGCAATGACCAACATTAAAGTTTTTGTGACTAAATGTATATTAAAACCACAAACATAAATACAGTAGAATACATTCTGATGTTTTAAGGTTAAAAAAAAAACAAATTGACTTGAGAATCATTTTATAATTTAACACAAAAATAATTAATATGTGAGAAAAGTATTATTTAATGTGTTGCATCTGGAAAAATCAAATAATAGACTGGTGTATGGGTCTACTATAGTCAAAAATATTGCAGTAAAAAAATGTCATATTTTATTTTCATCAAATATTTAGAACAGAAGTTACTTCCAATAATTTGATGCAAAGATTAATTCGTTAGAAGTTTATTTCAATACAAGTGATGTTTAAAAACAAAACAATTGTAACTTTGAACCTTTTACTGAACATACATAACACTCTGTGCGAGCATACTGCCTGTTTAAGGTTGCTTGTTCACAAGCCATATATTGCCAGTTTAAAATATTTAGAAGGCTACTATGTCTTTACTCATCCCTACTCCACTATAGTAACTTTTTGACTCTGTTTGACTCCCTTCTATTAATTTCTACTCCCTTTTAGCTTAAGTTAAATTTAAAGTCGCCATAGGTGATATGTTTAAGATTATGATTTGCTTAGAGCTACAGTTAATGCCAGTGGATGTTATAGCTAACAGTGAAGTCCATAATTGACATTTCAGTCTTGAAATGGATGAGGTCCATTTTGTGGCAATGTGTGATGAGTGGAAAGGAACGGGGAATAAGAACGTGTCAGGACTTTGACATTACCAGCTTGTTATTATTCCTCGTCCCGTTCCTTCCACCCGTAATTACCTCACCAGATCCATTGCCCACAAACAACTACAGTAGGACATAAACCCTCGCCCTCAATTTTACACCATTCATTTGGATAAAGAGAGAAGGTAATGATTGGTACATGTACTGGTATAGGAACAGGTATTTCAACAGGTATAGTCACTGGAATAAGAAAGGAATAGGAATAGCAATAAGGAAAATGAATTGGTTAAGGAAATAGTAAGGGGAATCTATAGGAATAACGATATTGAAAGTGAAATGTGATATGACCATTGAACAAACTTTCCTCTAAGACCAAATGCAGACTTTTCAAAAGTAATGTCATTATAATCCTACTGTATGGTAAATAATGCTGGAAAGTAACAACTGCCATAAGTAGATCACTGGACTCTTTAAAACTAAGTGCCTAAGAAGGGTAAAAGACATCCATTTACACCATTTCTAATTATAGACTATAAAAAGAGATGGAAATGGAACCAGTTTCCAAAATAATCAAAAAATAAAGATGGCTCTGGTTGGGGCATGTCCTAAGAAAGAATCCAGATTATATCTCAAGAACTGTCCCTTACACCCGGGCGGTCGGCAATGATTGTTCTACCTCACCCATGTGAAGGGTGATTAACATACACTGGGTTTTTATTGTGGTGTAATATTCATCTGTTATTACAACAATAGCTTTATATGTGTGGATAGAAAATAGGTCACTCGTCTAACAAAACATGTAATTGAATGTTAATGTAATGAGTGTCCTTGAATTTTTTTCCTTCTGAGGTTGCAGCAATGCAACACAGGTACACTAGTAGTACCATAATATAAACATACAGCGATGCTTATATATACTTTTTTTTTCACTATAAAAATGTTAATAGTTGATTCCACCTATGACATACTCCGAGACTAATTTATAATAACTTACGGTGAAGGTTAAATACTTACTATTCTGGATTATTAACCTGTGATTATACTCAAGGGCACCTTGCTTTAAGCATTCGGAAAGTTCACTAATATTTGTTTAACTTCTTATATTTGTTTATTGTAATTCGTTTTGCTAATTTCAACTAATAATTATTGTGTGAATAGATGTTTTTAAATGTTTAGTTGAGTAAAGAGCATAGCTGTTAAACTCCTGAGTATATAATAGCAGAAGAGTTAATAGACATTGTGTTATGTTTTGTGAGATTACTCTTTAGCCATGTTTATGGAGTTTGCTGTAGGTCAACATTTCTAAATAATTTATTAAAATCCATTCACAAACATTAAATTAAAACCAATAACTTATTTTTTTTACATAAATATAGCTATTTAATATTTATTAAAGATTTGTGTAATTTAAGGATTTAAAAATATTTAATGCCCACTCAAGATATTAATGGTTGTTACAGATTGCAATGCGATAACACTTTCCTTTGATATTTTTATTTGAAGTGATCACAAAGATAAAATTAATAAAAGTCAATAATATCTCTTTATTTTAAAGTCATATTTTCAACTAACTGAAAGTTAACATTAATGATTGTTTTAAATACTATGTACATTTTCTTTAAAGATTGCATTTTTTCAATATTTTGTTCATTATTTCTGTCTACAGTTTTTTCTGACTTTGACACAGATGAAATACCTACATATGAAGAAGTTGAATTATACCGTCCTAAAAAACCACTAAAAAGTTTCAGGCCCATTATTCTTATAGGTACGTCTGAGTTTCTATTTCTATTAAGAAACAACAAAAATTTAGAAAGTTTTCAATCATGAACTCACATTATTTTAGTGATAAGCTTCAATATCTAATCTCTAGTTATTTTAGTTAATTATAATTTTTTTAAAGTTCAAGCTATGAATTTGTATTGATCTTTTAATCTAGGAATAACATGCCTATTGCTTATTATCTAGGACAATGCACATATATATATATATATATATATATATATATATATATATATATATATATATATATATATATATATATATATATATATATATATATATATATATATATAAGTAACAAGTTGACCCACCACCTAACACATATTAATGTACATAAACACTTCCTTAGACCACCATATTAAATTTAGGAAATTGCCACCCACACACCATCACCCTAGACATTCATTGCTACTACCACTGCAAAATATATATTTTTAAACTTAATCATAGAAATCAAATCTAGACTATATATGATAAATTAATTGCTATATCTTCATTAAAAACAGTTTTAAAGCATTATTTTGTCTTTAAAAAAATGAAAGCCAGTTGTGTCAATCTTCTCTTCTAAATGGCAAATTTAGAGTAAAGAAAAAGTTCTCAGTACCACCACACCACCCCTTTAAACATATTATAACAAAGAGATGAACTAAACGTGTTTGGTAATGTTATATAATATGTTTATTATCACTTGAATAAAAATAATTTTTTAAATTAAGATATTTCATTTTTTTAATTTAAACCATGTTTTTGAACATTCATTTTTTTTTAATTTACATTCCCATATACAAGTACAGAAAAATGATTTCCAGTGACCGGAAGTAGTAATTGACAATATTTCTGATTTCTCAAAAAACAATATATCACTTTTGATGCACCATTCTTTTTTCTAAGCCATTAAGATGTTTAAGTTAAAAATATTATTTGGAATGCAATTTGTGGCAATTGTACCACTCAGTGCATTTGCACTATATGGTAGTTATTCAAATTATTCAAATTAAAGTTCAAAATAGCTTATGGTAGATTCTTCTTCTTCTTCATTCTTAATTATTAGTGTTGAAGAGACTTTGTTCGAATTTATCAACCATGAGCTTTTTTGCCGACTCGACCAAGCCTCCAACACAATTAAGCGTACGTGTCAACTGGTTATGCGCCATTGAGGCCATTGACTCCGATTTCAGCCTGCTTTTCTTTTTGGATTTGCTTCCATAGCCTTTATCCAACCAAGAACTAACTACAAGGCAACAGTTGTTTTAATATTGGAGTTGTCTCTCCTAGAAGAGTGGCTGTCCCCAGCTAACGAGCCTCATCTGCCTGAGGGTTCGAACTCAAGACTTTTCGGTTTAGCAACCATGAGCTTTACCGACTCGACCACGCCGACCCCTGTGGTAGATTAGAGTTGGTGTTGAATTAGGTGTTGCAGTAGGCCAAACAAACTATTAGTTAATGTATTATAAATTAATTTACGCATTTAACTAATGTTAAATAATTTTACGTCTGTATATGTCTGTTTGGGATTAAATGTTAAAGTAGACCACACAAAGTATTAGCTACTTGTTATATATATATTAGTTAACACATTTAGCTAATGTTAAATTCAAAGCTTGTACAGGTGATATGTTTGAGATAAGGGTTCGCTTGGAGTTATTAATTTGAACAAGTGTTACAGTTAAGGGGGCATTCCATAATTGATATCATAGTCTTGGAAGGGATGAGGTCAATTTTGTGACTTTTAGCACTTAGAAAAGAAACTAATTGTACTTAAGTGCATTGTACAATATATATATATATATATATATATATATATATATATATATATATATATATATATATATATATATATATATATATATATATATATATATATATATATATATATATATATATATATATATACATATATTGACATTATTCCAGATCAGTGCCCTCCCAAATTAGTTTATAAATTTGCATTAAAGAAGTTAAAAAGATTTAGATTTTTAACTTTTTTTGACAACCTTAAAAGTGCCATATTTCAGGGTTTATATCTGTAAAAGTGTTTATGTACTATAAGACAAAATGCCCATTACCTATTTATATGACATCTGATAGTGGCTGGAACAGTGCTAGGGTCACATATACAAAATATTATTTGTCCAAGCAATTTGCTAGTCTTTTTTTTCCTCAAATTTTTAAATATTTTTTTTTTCACTTCTTGTGTCTTCTAGAAAAAGATGTTTTTCAAATTCTAACTTTGTAAATATTTATCTAACACAAAAAGAATAGCTTTGTTTACCTTTTAACGTTTAGCTAAATTTAGATTGCAGACACTATTTTATTTCATTGCTTATATAAAAAATTTAGGTCCACCTGGTGTTGGACGGAATGAATTGAAAAGGCGCCTTAAAGCCAGCAATCCTAATCATTTCGAAGAGGTTGTTCCATGTAAGTTATGTTTTTAAAAGTTATCATTATACCTAGTTTCATTTTGAGTAGATTAATAAATGATTTGATACATATAAAATCAAACAAAAAGTACAAGCAGCATAAATATGTGACAGAGATTACAAAAGAGTCATTGCTAACACTTCAACATGTACTTGTTATGCTTTAAATATAAAAATGAGTAGCAAAAACATGCTATTATTTAATTGTTGGTCTACTGGATAAGAATTTGGATAAGTAATGTCAAAAAACAATTTAAAAATAAACACAGTTAAAAAAAAGAAATATGTACTTAAAATTTATTGTGCCAGTGGGTAAGGTAGCAATTATATTATACAATTAACAATATGCACTTCTGCATAAGAAAATCTGACTTGTGACTTTCATTTACCTTGTTAATGGGCATAAATACACTGGCTATCTTCTAGGTGTTTATATTTTGTGCATGTTTTAGTTATATTTGTAAAGCATTCACAAAACAAAATGCATTGTGTATAGATTATTGCAATATACATAACTACTCATAACCAATAAAAATAGTATTACTAGAAAATTTTCTATTTCAAAACCAATTTTTGCTCACTTCACAGTGTGATCCTATCTAAAAAAAAAATCTCCTATGTTGGGGCATGCATAATTATGTTGAGGTGCCACTGTATATATATATATATATATATATATATATATATACATATATACATAATAGGTATATATCTATATATATATATATATATACATAATAGGTATATATCTATATATATAAAAAGCAATGTATGTTTGTGTGTGTGTCTGTTTGTTTGTCCTTTATGCATTACTACACCTCTCATCACATCGGCGTGAAACTTTGGGAAGTTGTTGAGAATATTCCTGGGGAGGTTTCTGCGAAAAAAAAATTTCAAATTCGCTGGTGTGGCGCCCCGGCAGGGCGCGATTGGTTTTTCTCTATATACCGTATATAAAAATAATAAAAGTGAATTGCAGTGACACTGTTCACATGATCGCCATGAAACTTTAGGAAGTTGTTGAAAATATTCCTGGGGAGGTTTCTGCTAAAATAAATATTTCAAATTCGCAGGGGTGGCGCCCAGATAGGGCGCGATTTGTTTTTTTCTATTTACGGTATATAAAACTAAAAGTCGATTTTAGTTTGGCATCGTTCATCCAATAGCCATGAGACTTTGAGGAGTTCATTATACCACTCTAGGGAAGGGTTCTGTAAAAAAAATAATAAAAGTGAATTGCAGTGACACCGTTTATCCAATAGGCATAAAACTTTGGGGATTTCATTATAAAACTCTAGGGAAGGGTTCTGTAAAAAATCATTTTTAATTTCGCAAGGGCGGCGCCACGGAAGGTTGCGATTTTTCTCTAAATATGGTATATAAAAATAAAAGTCGATTTTGGTGTGACACCGTTATCCGATAGCCATGAGACTTTGGGGGAATTGATTAGAACAATTCAGGGAAGGGTTCTGTAAAAAAAATCCTTTTTTAATTTCGCAAGGGCGGCGCCATGGGAGGCTGCGATTTTTCTCTATATACGGTTTATAAATTTTCGGTTTCACATCGTTCATCCATGTACCATGAAACTTTGGGGAGATGATGAGATCACTCAATAGTAGGGTTCTGCAAAAAAATATTGTTTAATATTGCAAGGGCGGCGCACCCCGGGGGGGGGGGGGGGGCGATTTTTTTTTCTCTATACACGGTATATAAAAAATAAAACTGGGATGCGGTTCATCCGAGTGCCATGAAAATTTAGGGAGTAGATGAGAATACTCCCGAGAATATTTCTGCGAAAAAGAAAACTAAAGTTCCTTATGGGCGGCGCCATATATGGTACAACTTTTGTCAATACACGGTTTGGAGCCCAGAGTTTTAGAGCGACGATGTTGGCACTTGGC